AATCTATTCAATTACATCTCTCTCTCTCTCTCTCTCTCTCTCTCTCTCTATATATATATACCAATATTTTTTTCACAAAACAAAACATACATATGTGCGTATATATATATATATATATATACATACAGTACATACATATATATATACAGTATATATATATATATATATATATATATATAAACACACACATACACACACACACACACATACAAATTGCAGTACAGTATTACTGTTTACTACTGTGATTTAATACTTAAAAATACTAATAATTAAAATATATTTACATTTTTGACAATGTGTTTTTTGGGGGGATAATCACACTAAAAAACTTTCACTATCCAAAAAAACTAAAAGGCTTCACTTTCATTCAGCAAAATGTATTATTTTATTTCTTTATTTAGGCTAGGGGTGAAATATGACTGATGCCAAATGACTTTCTACAACAGTCCAGTTCTTACTTTTGATATGATCTCGACAGGAAGTCTCTCATAATGGCTACTATAGGCTGCAGTTTCGATGTGCCTTGAGGTATGAATGCTTCAGAACATCCTTTTGTCTTTCAACACCTTTATTTTTGAAAGCGGCCACATTCAGGTCCTCATTTCCGAACACATTCACCCACTTCTAGTTCAGGAAATAGAAGAGCATAACTTGCGTCATACTAGTTTTTACACTCTCATCATTACTGATTAATAACAGAACCGACAACAAGACAACACGCTCACCTCTGCATGAACAAGCCATGTGCTAACGAACCTTCTCAGCTTCTCATTGGACTGCCAGTCTGGATGTTGTTGAAGGATAACAGTCTTGTTCTCAAACTCCTCATTCGTCTGAGAATCTGCAATGGCCCGTAGAAGTTTAAGAACCTCTTCATGAGATGCCACACCATTGTCCTTTTTTCTTGTCCACTCCATCCATGCCTTCTCACAGTGAACATCACAGAGGAGCACTTTAGAACCAAAAATGATGCTCACTTGTCAGTTCTGACATTTTAGAACATTTTGGAGAAATGATCTGTTCATTCAGCTCATGACTCAATACAACAGGGTGGAAGACTACAAGAAGGGGTTAAAATAAATCAGTAATTTAGCATACAGATGTGATGGCCTTCAACATTTCTAAAATCAAGGACTGAAATAGTATTTAAAATATTATGAAATTAATATAATATGAAATAACATTAATCACTCTTGCTCCTATGGCTCGTTTCACTTGGAGGAAGTCAATTATTTTACTTACGTCACCTAAAAGTGGTAATTTCAGGTCGGGCAATGATGAAAAATTCAGAATTTAAGGGAACATTGGTGATCCGAAATCAGACTCAGTGCTTTTGTATAAATGCAGTCTAGCAGTGCTGCTATTACATTTGTCATGCCAAATCCTCTGGTCTAGTTTAAATAAAATATTTCAACACTTTTAAACATACCCTTAAACACCTCCTCTAAACAGCCCAGCCCTCTTCTTTCCATGTGTTTACCAAGGTCTACGATGTATAACTTGTAAATTAATCACTTTAAAGAGTTTTGAATGTAATAAAAACATTTATGCAACATAAAACACCAATCAATGTTCAAAGAAAGCCAACATGAAATCCAAACTGACTTTAGTTCTGGTCTTATTGTGAATGAGTTATTTGTACACATTATTCCAAAGAAAAAAAAAAAGCATTAACCTCCACTTCTGATACAATGTGCCTTTTTAGGCTGACGACACGAATCCAGTTTTTTGTGCACCCTTTTTAACTTTAAAAATACATCATATTTTATTTTGACTTTTGTTAACAGCATCTCAATCAGGTGACAATCTTTACCTGTATATTATGATGGTCTGCACTGGACTTCCTGTTTCCTGCCTTGGCTTTTTTAATGATGTTCCAAATGTCTCTTGATTCCTGCAGGTTCAAGCAGAAAAAATGGTTACGGGGTACAAGTTTGGGGTTGGTAAGATTTTGAAATGGTTTTGATTTGAAAGAAGTCTGTTCTGCTCACTAATGCTGCATTTATTTGATAAAAAATACAGTAAAAAAACAGTAATATTACGAAATATTATTACAATTTAAAATAACGGTTTTCTTTTTGAATATATTTTAAAATTTTATTTATTTTTGTGATCAAAGCTGAATTTCCACCATCATTACTCCACTCTTCAGTGTCACATGATCCTTCAGAAATCATTTTATTATGCTGATTTGCTGCTCAAGAAACATTAATGATTATTATCAATTTTGAAAACAGTTGTGCTGCTTAATATATTTGTGGAAACTGTCATTGCTAGGATTCTTTGATGAATAGGAAGTTCAAAAGAGCATTTATTTGAAATAGGAATCTTTTGTAACATTAGAAATGTCTTTACTGTCACTTTTGATCAATTTAATACATCCTTGCTGAATAAGAGTATTAATTTCATGTCACATTAGTCTGTCATAACTTGTGAGATCAATCCTAAGGCACAAACCTTTCCAAAAATGGGGTGGTTTTGATGCTCTTTAATATCTGGGAAGCTGGCCGCAAACATTTCTTCTGTGCGCACGTGCTTTGGATCTAGTCGCAGTGCTTCTCTAACAGCTGATGACTTCTCTCGTTTCTGATATGGGCTTTCTTCAGTTATCTGGCCACCAAAAATAATGTTACAGTTTACAAATGTGTCTGACACTTGCAAAAATGCTGTATGACAAGAT